CTTAGACTCCACTGAATTGATTTCTGCTCTGATCTTTATAATTTCCTCCCTTGTATGAGCTTTGAGGTTGTCCTGCTCTTCTTTTTCTAGAAACTTGAGGTTCAGCATCAGGTTGTTTAATTGGGCTCGCTCTGTTTTCCTAACATGTGTACTCACTGCTATGAATTTCCCTCGTAAGACTGCTTTCATTGTGTCCCATAGATTCCACTATGTTGTATTGTCATTTAATTGAAGGAACTGCCTGATTTCTTTTTTAATTTCTCTGTGACCTATTGGTTATTCAGAAGTGTGTTGTTCAATTTCCATGTGTCTATGAAATTCTTTTCGGGTTCTTTTGCTATTGATCTCCAATTTCATTGCACTATGGTCTGATGATATCCAGGGGATAACTTCAATTCCTTTGCACTTACTTAAACACATTCTAAGAGTGAGTATGTGGTCTATTTTGGAGAATGACCCATGTGCACCTGAAAAGAATGTGTATTCTGATTTTGTGGGGTGGAAGACTCTGTAAACATCTGTTAAGTTCATTTGTTCAAGAGTCTGTGTTCTAGTATTTCATTGTTTATTTTCTGTCTAGTTTATCTATCTAGTTGTAACAGTTGGGTATTGAGGTCCCTCATTACTACTGAATTAGTGCTCATTCAATTTTTCATGTCTCTTAGTATTTGTTTTATATAGTTGGGTGCACTAGTATTTGGTGCATATGTATTTATGATTGTCATCTCTTCTCTTGGATTTTTCCCTTTACAAGGATGTAGTGTCCTTCTTTGTCTCTCTTCATCAGTGTTGGTTTGAAATCCATTTGATCTGCAAAAGGGATAGCTATTTCTGCTTTTTTTCAGGTTCCTGTCTCATGGAATATTGTTTTTTTCCCTTTAACTTTCAGTCTATGAGTTTGTTTTTGAATGAAGTGTGTTTCTTGTATGCAGCATATTGTTGGATCTTGCTTCTTTACACATTCTCCCAGTCTAATTCTTTTGATTGGTGAATTGAGACCATCAACATTGATGGTTATAACTCATATGTATTGACTTATCCTTGTCATGACTTTTTCTTTTTGTTGGATACTTACCCTTTGCATTTAATTTCTTGTTGTGCCTAATGGATCCATTCTTCTGGGCTTCCTGGGGTTCACTGTCCTCATTGTCTTTTCCTAGGACATTGTTTAAAATTTTTTGGAGTGCTGGTTTGGTATTTATGAAGTTCCTAAGGTGCTTTTTATCATGAAAGTATCTTATTTCTCCATCAATTTTGAAAGATAGTTTTGCAAG